ATGGAGACCTGAACAGAAAACCGAGCGAGAGTGTAAAAGTCAATGATGGCAGCTATAATTTCGCCGAGAGAATGCTGTGCAATAGCTCATCAAAATTACGATTGTTAACTTTTCATGGCTAACAGTTCAAAGAACTACGAATGTACAATTTTAACGATTAACTAACAGCCAAGTAACAGAGTTGTTGACTAACAAACAGCCTCGTAACTTTCCTCGTAACTTTAGGTCAAATCATTTCTCTCGTCTATAGGGTGGTTAACTTTTGAAGTGAATTATTGATCAAATGTTTTGACTATTTGTCAAAGCTCGCAGTTATCAGTCTATGGCGTTCATCAGAAGCCTACTAGTAGCGTCAGCCCCGGAGATTCCTGATGCAAGATTAACCTTAATCCTGAAACTGAATTCATTTTCCCAGTACCCTCCGTAGCTTTTCCCGCTGAAAAAATCAACCAGAATGAATTCAAAATAATTTAAATTGGCGTTTTGTTGGTGTAGTATTAAACTACTGCCATAACTGTGACAATCTTTAACATTTTTGACTGTTTGGAAAGAATTGTCACTTTAGCAGGGTTTGCAGCTCCTCGACAGCTAGCAGATAGTTAATAGGCAATCTTGCAGCTGCACCAGCGCACAGTTTTAAAAGGAAGAATAAAAGTATCGTTTTGCATTCTCAGTTATCAACCTCGATCGACTTTATAGTTAGATCTCAAAATCCCTTTGACATGAACATCTTCAAGAAACTGTGTGTTTTTCAAAATTGACTGAAGAAGAGTGAGAAATTCAAGAAAATCTTTCAGGCCCAGTGCCCCCTTTTCCCTAGAGATTTAAAGAATACAAATTGCTGGAAACTATCGAACTGAGTTTCCGAGTGGACGCCAAAAAGCCGTGAGTATAGATTAGGCTTCTTCCAGCTTCCACTATGTAAATGTTTGGATCCGCCACTGCATTGACTATACATTAAACAACAAAGGGAAAATCAAAAGTACTGTCTCTTACTGGGGACACTAAAGTCACGAAGTAGTTTATAGAAGAGTCCAAGGTAAACAAAAAGATCCCATTAGGAAAGGTAAACAATGCAAATGAAGTAGAGGAAACAATCAAGTGAATCGACACCGTAAAGCAGAGTGTCGAGCAATGACTGTTTTCGTGAAAATGAGTTCTGAAATTGAATAAAACAGTTTCATCAACATGTAGATTGACAAGGCCTAAATCTCGGAACCTCTCCAATCTAAATTATGATCAGTTAAGGACCTGTGATGGGGCCTTGAGCTACATTGTTCGAGATAAAGGGGGTCTCAGAGCACTCTTCATGACAGCCGGTTAATTTGTTCCGAATCTTTAAGAATGAGTGAAACAATCAAGATTCGAAAGCATCTCAGGTACCGAAAATTGAATGATCAAGACTCTTGATCGCCTTAGCGATATCCAGGAACACATCTCCAAGCAGACAGGAACAAAGCAAGAGAAAGGAAAATTGTAACAAGTGGATCAATTTAGAAAGTTGTAAGTTGAGCAAAGATTGTTACGGGAAATTGCCATGGAGGCTCAGAATAAAGTCGTTTGCCCTTGAAACTCCGAAGTGTACGTGATCATGAAAGTAACTCAATATTTTAATTGCTTGACAAGTCTAATGGTGATGATATCGCATTGAATAATAAACCTTGATAACAACTGCAATCCCTAAAAGGTAAAAAAAAAAAAGAAAAGCCTTTTGCAATGGCATAAGTAAACGTAAAGCTTCTTTTTCCTCGAAGACTTTCATTGTCAAGGCACTGATACACACCTCGTGTACCTTTAACGAAGTTCCTATTGATCAAAAATTCATGACTCACGTTTATGATGTTCATTGTAGAGATCTTTCTTTCGCTCTATCGAACACTGATTTTGCTCAGGACCAGGATCTCTAGATGATGGAAGACTTACAATATAACGATCTATAAATTGGATCGAATAAGCCAAGAACTCAGGGCATCAATGATATTGCATAAATATCGGCAGAAGTGTTTTCAATTGATAATTAGGTCGAAAGTAACCAAGAGTTTCGAACTCGTTGAGACAACGAAAACAGATTCCATCTGAGTGTCCTCGAGTCAGTGATGGATGACAACGATACCAGAGTATGACTGAGACACGCTATATAAAATGGATGACGAACTGTAGGCAAATTTAACTGATTTTTTACCTTTTGACGGCACTTTTTACAAGCATGTTCTGTGACCTATAGCAAAATGCAATATCTGTCGATAAAATTAGCAAATATCCATGGGTGTTCAACTATTCCAGGACTCGTGCATTGCCATTCAAGTATTTTTCAGAGACCAGCTGTATCGATCGCTTTCTTCTTATTTTTAAATATACTTCTTAGTATGTATGAAAAGAGATCCGGCAGAACTTTCCCTAGGCTTATCACTTCCTTAAATATATTCAAAGAAGTCCGCAAGTTGGTCTGTTGCCAATATGGTTGAGGTTACATAAATCTGAGAAGGTATTTTTTTTTCTATAATGTGAAACTTTATGTCACTGAGTAGTCTGACACAGATCACAAACAAAGATCAATTCCAGAGCGCAGAAAACTTATTTTATGGTATATAAATTTGTAAATGTGTATTTCTATGGACTTATACATTGGTATAAGACCTCTAAAATACATATGCGTCATTGATCGAGTTTGAGGTCAAGATGGCTGGATATTGGCCGAGTTTTTTTTTTTTTGCGTTTTTTGGACCGAGATGAGGTCATAAGTCGAGGTTCAATAAACATTCAAAAAAAGAAAACGCTTATAACCAGCCATCTTGACCGAACAAACTTGGTCAATAAAGGATTTATTAAATTGAAAAAAGATTTCACTCAGATAAAAATCAAGAATGACTTGTTTATTTCGAGAGCGAAAGCCAACTCATTGTGTGTTTGTACTAGCATAATAAATCCGAGAGGGTTGTTAAATTTTTCTCTGTTTTGACTGTCTACTGTCGCTTTTTGAGACTCCAACGCCGACATTACTCGAACGTTTCGAACTTTGTAAGTCCGCCCCCACACGTTATTTCTTGATTCGCTTCATCTTGCCCACGGGCGCCCAGCTATCTAATAAATTAAATATATCTTATCAACCAAGCGCGAGGGCCGTACTGGGAGAATATCGGCCCGAGGTCTTGACAATATGGACCGAGCGCAGCGCGGTCCGTACAAAAAAGACCGAGGGCCGATATTCTTCCAGTATGGTCCCGAACAAGCCTGGTTAATAAGAGATTTATTATACGACTGAAGTTCAAAGGGACACAAGTGCGGTATCATTCGGGATCATTCGGGACAGTGCCCGGTCCAATACTGAGAGAATATTGACCGGCAATAGAGCATTTTGACTGGTTGATTTTAGTTATTGGCCCTCTGAGTGCCCGAGTCGTGTAATAATATGCGTTATTGACGAAGTGTGAGGTCAAGATGGCTGGATATTGATTTTTTCTGGGTTCTCATCATGTTCTCAGTTCATGAAAAAAAGAAAACAACGTCAGAGGATGTAAATACATTTTCTGAACAAGAAGAGAACGAGAACACCAAAAGAAAACGCTGTATGATGAAAAGATTTTCAAGGAATTTCTAGAAAGTTGCGACGAAAATTACGACGGCCAAAATACATTCACATGTATTTTTGCCTAAACGACGGTGTTCTATGTAAACCTTCTCATAATTTGGGCATCGGGTATTTTGTTTCTACTAATACCCAGTATTTGTCAGCTTTTCAATCTCACGTATATTAATTGTCCATATGATAAATAGAGGATAATACATGGCCGCTTCGCTTACTCGTGAGAGATCGATACTTTCAGCTTGTGATTCAGCCACATAAGTCGTGTGCTTATAGCAACGAGAAGTTTGAGAGCCACAGGAACTTCATGGATACAGGATGCTGTAAGCTTGAAAATTTTAAGGATACAGGAGTTTAAGTAAAAACCACCACCGTATATTTGTGATGAAAGATCTTCCGAAATAAAAAAATTGTATCAGTTTCGAAAGCGACGGAAACATCCTCAGTGTTCACGGCCTAACCAAGAGTTCTGACTCACAAATGTAATTCGGTATCAAATGGACCTGAATCGATCAGTAACACTTATGCGGACGAAAACTTGCCTACTTGCGGTCTCATAAAATGCGTTCTGAAGTATATCTTTCCGAGGCAGCTGAATGATAGAGGTTTTTTATCAGACGTAGGCGGAAGAAACCTTTGTAAACATGAGATAATCGTGTTACAATGCAAAAATTACTGAGCGACTGTGAGGCGAGACGAGACATGAGAATGAAAAAGAGGGAAATTTGGCTTGTACAGACGAAGTAATTTGAACTGGTTGACCAGTGCATGGGAGCTTCAGGTAAAAAAAAAAATTACACACACATACTTTCGACCGTATGCAGAGCTGACTTTGGCACATAAGTATGACATTGGTCAGCGGGGTTAAACAAAAAATTAATAGAAAGTGAAGGATAAAGCGAAGGACGTCATTTTCTGAGTAAAAAGGGACAGTTGTTGACAACTCATTTTTGCGCTCGAGACAGTAGATGGAGCCCCTTCTTCACACTAAGTGCCAAAGTAGGTACCAAAGTTATCGATACCTCTGCGAGGTTACCAAGCAGTAGAACGCCGGGGTGCGATGCATAAGCGTTATTAATCAAGCGTGAGGTCAAGATGGCTGGATATTGGCCGAGTTCGTTTCTTGCGTTTTGATGGACCGAGACGAAGTACAGTCGAGTTCCATAAAAATGCGAAAAAAGAACGAGGCTAATATCCAGCCATCTTGACCGAGCAAGCTTGATTAATTAATAAAGGATTTATTCTGTTACAAAAAGATTTGGCTTTATTTAGAATGAAGGCTGATAGTTTCTAAAAAAACTGTTTGGGGTTGCGTCGGTGGGGGTAACGAAATGATTTGAATATATCAACAAAGTTGAAATGGTAAATTGGCCACCGTAACGATTATAGAAGCTGACGTNAAATCAATGGCATCTATGATGAAATCCGTCAGACCTGTTCACTATTCCGCTATATGTGCATCTTACGAACCATCACTATGCTTCGGAATAAACTTCAACTTGAAGTTACGAACACTCACACTCGAAAGATCTCAAGGCTTCTCTACAGAGAAACTGACGTCGACGAACACATCCTGAATATTTCCTCTTACGAACTATCGTTCTTCCAAAAATTGGTTCTCTGTCGTGGCCTGAAATTTGCGATCCCACAAAGAGTGTCTCCAGTTGAGATCAAGGCAAGCTTCGAGAAAGCATATTGGAACCTTGAACGGCATCTACCAAACGAGAATTTACGCGAACTAGCAGCCGCATCCTTACGATCTGTTGCGCTAGAGTATATTAATAAGAGTAGCCCAAAACCTCCTAAAGCCCTCTTGCAAGCTATTGAAGATCTGAAAAAACGCGATGACATCGTTGTCACAAAACCGGATAAAGGGTCTGGTGTTGTTGTTATGGATAAATCAGAATATCTTCGCCTACTATCCGAAGCGTCAATAAACGATACCAGCAAATTCCGATTCGTCGACTCGGAGAGACCGAGAACCAGAGGACGACCTCCTAAGTATTACCACCCTCTCCTTCAGAAAGAAAGGGAGTTGGAAACTCTCGTTCGAAAGATTCTACCGAAATCCATTGCTGACGCTCTCCGCCCGAAAGGGTCCAGACTCGCACACTTGTATGGCTTGCCGAAGACACATAAAGAACAGTTGGCCGTGCGGCCAATACTCTCTGCTACTAACACCTACAATTACTCGCTAGCGAAATGGCTTGACGACAAATTGAAACCCCTGTCGTGCAACCAATATACAGTGACAGACACATTCCGCTTTGCTGATGAAGTACGAGGCTTCGAGATCAGGAACGGCGAAATTTTAGTTTCCTATGACGTCATCTCATTGTTTACAAATGTACCATTGGAGGAAACAATACAGATCTTAGCTGAAAAAGCCTTTGCCCAGGATTGGTTCAACGAGACGCACAGCTTGAACATCTCTAAAGCGGACCTAATCGACCTCCTCCGAGCAGCTACGAAAAACCAGCTTTTCCAGTTTGACGGTGCTTTATATGAGCAGACAGATGGAGTCGCTATGGGTTCTCCCCTTGGACCGTTGCTGGCTAACGTCTTCATGTGCTCGATTGAGGAAAACCTCGAACGACACGGTCAACTTCCGCGCTATTACCGGAGGTACGTCGATGACACCCTGACCGTAATGCCTGATAGGGTGACCGCTGGCCAGTTTCTAGACACCCTTAACTCTACCCATCCCTCCCTCCAGTTTACCATGGAAGTCGAACGGGAAGGATCCCTTCCCTTTCTAGGAACTGAACTGCTTAACCGTGCACCAAAGATTGAGAGCAAGGTCTACATCAAAAGAACCAACACGGGTCTCCTTCTGCATTTCCAGAGTCATGTTGACATTAAGTACAAGCGCAGCCTAGTTAACACCATGGTGGATCGCGCTTATCGATTATCTTCTAACTGGTCTTTCTTCTCCGAGGAATGTGACCGCCTTAGAGGGGTTTTTCATAACTTGAAATACCCAAAGCCACTGGTTGAAACTACAATCAAGCGGTTCGTTGAGAGAAGGATTTCATCTGCAGAACCCTGTCCATCACCAGACGTACCATCGGAGACTGTGAGATTAGTGTTACCCTTCAAGGACCAGTCGTCAGCTAATCATGTTAAACAACAACTGAACAGTCTAAGCTCGAAGTTAAGCGTGACTGTCCAACCAGTGTTCGTTAGCCCTAAGCTCGATCAACAGCTTAAGCAACACGAAATTAAGCCCCCTATTGTTAACCAACAATGTATCGTTTATGAATTTAAATGTAACCTGTGTGATGCAGGGTATGTGGGCTATACTCGTGGTCACTTACACGAGCGCGTAGAAGGGCACAAAAGGAAATCATCTTCTATCTACAAACACTACCACCTCCAGCACAATAGTGAAATGCCTGAACGCTTGATCGAGCAATTCAACGTCATCACGAAATGTAACGGCAAATTTGATTGCCTTGTTAATGAAATGTTGTATATTCGCATGCGTAAGCCAACACTGAACGTGCAAACGGATTCCATCCGCGCCAAGGTGTTTGTTTAAGCCGTTCAGTCTAATTTATGCTATTCTTGTACCTTTCCTTATTTGCATGTTTTTAAACTAGTCTCTTGATAATGGAGTCATGATGACCCCGAAACGTCGAGTAATAAATCTTTCCTGGTTTTTTCTATGCCTTTGCTTTAGCAAATCCCTGCTGATCAATTGTAAATGACGTTTAGGAAAGGTGTGCAAAGTGTTCCGGACCAGCAACAGATTTCAACGCATCAACTTATTGTGTGCTGAATACGTTTAGACGTTGGGAATGAAACTTGAAAACGAAGTAAGTCAGGCACCGTTCGCGAATCGGAGCAAACACAAATCACTTACCTGTGCTAAGACGGTCTAAAGCTGAGTTATTTTCTGGTCGGGACATAATAGTTTTCACGTTTTATTTTTAATCTTCCTGTTGTTTTTGAAAAAGTAGGCAAAGCTGTATACTTTGCGGTTTCTTGACAACTTTTCATTTAGCAACATCCTGTTTTTGTCTCAAATTTACCATAATTGTTTTGTAGAGATTGAAACCAGTTCCTTCACGTAAGGACCGGAACAAAACGAACGCACTTTTGCAACATACCATATTTATCAATGTTGCCATTGGCGCGTGGTTTGACTTAAAAAAGAAACATAAGATCAGAAACTATTGTCACCAAAAATAAAACGGGACTGAGAAGTGTCTTTCGATCGACGCATATCAAAAAATGGGAGCCGGAAACAATCATAGGATACGACGACGAATCAACATGAATACAAAGTGAGTATTCAACATGGGGGATATTTTGGAGTGATTTAATAACTTGTTTTGCGCTATTTTTATACAGAACAGGAAATCCCCCACATATTTTGTTTTCAGTCCACACACATTTGCATGTTCAGTAAAACAACCTATTCTATGAGTCAAAAAAGGATACAAAGAGTAACCAATTAAATCAGTCTAATAATGTTCTCGCAGCAAAAAACTAGCCGGCTACATTTGAACTGATCTATTAAGCAAAAGAACACAAACGTATCAAATTTCGTTTTTTTCTTTTTTCGGATAGTTGAACTTAGAGGGTAACGTCAGCTGCTCACCGACAAAAGCTGTACCTGTGTAAACACAGCCCACATATATTTTGGGTATCAGCAATTATAACCCACTCATTAATTTTGGCACGATTCTATTGGTTACTTTACGTCACGTGGTGCAAAATCACAGGAAAGTTATCACGCAATAACCCCCGTCCGCGTCGATATTTGTCCTCCGATTTTTCCCGTGAAAAAGAAACACAGTCAACACAAGAGTTTAAACG